GCACAATAACACACAGTCATTCTCTTCACGCCAGGGCCTGTCTCCTCACACAGATTTCATGATCTTTAATTACTATCTGATCCTATATCAAGCATGCTCTGATGCTTGTCCCAAAAGCTGGCTGTTATATATACAAATAGTTCAAGAATGTTTTTTATATTAGGAGGCCTGTGTCATGGCCAAGAGTGGCCCAAGGGTTCTGCTAGCAGTTCCATGGGACTGTTTGGGAGACACCCACAGAATCCCACAAGGCAGCGCTGGATTTTCGGCTGAGTAAAGCAAAAGTCAGACAATGGCAGCTACAGTGTTCAGTTGTTTACAGTTAAACAACTATTTCCTCTCCTCGCCAAGAACAGAAGCCCAAGACAAAGAATAGGCCCTTAATCAAATTTCAAAGGAGAACAAATTTTAAGGTCACGGTGCCCCGATAATGGCAAATGCATTACAGCATCTGCAGACCTCACAAACCTCAACACGCACGGTTCCTTTCCTTTACACAACTGAAAACTTATAGAGTAACTGAGAACGGATGACAGGGCCTCCTAAAAATAAGTTAAGGAGGAACACTTAGCTGCATGTTAGACAAGTAACTATTACACAGAATAAGTTTTGTAGGCTTGTCCAGAAAATGACATGAAGTAAGCCTTTCTCCTGAATTTTAAGGCAGATTTTATTTCCTTTGAGGCTCCCATAAATCAGTGTTACTTCTATCCTTACATTAAGGGTAGGGGAAAGGCCAAAACACTCAAAAAGATTATGTATAATTCTTCCTTGGCCACTTTTGATGGACACTACAAGACAAGTAGAGCTTCACTTCAATTTACTTACTTTTAATTGTTATTATTATTTAAAACTTTTTGTCATGGAGATATTTACATATTTATAAAAGTAGTGACCACATGTACCTATGACCCAGATTCACCAATTACCAACACAGAGCTGATTGCTTTCATCTACAAGCCAGCAACCTTCTCCCCATGCCCCAATTCTGAATTGTAAAAACTTTGCTCCATTTTAGAGATGTGTCACTCAATCTCTCAGCATCTACTTCCTGGTTATTCAGTTAGGAATCAGCACCCTCCCCTTCCCTTCCCTCTCTCTCCCCTCCTCCTTCTCATTCTCGTCCTTTTTGACACCACATCCAGCCAACTTAAATCCATGAAGGACTCTACAAAGTGAGGGTGAGAACAAAATTCACTGTGTGTGGGTTTTAGGAAGGCCAATTTCAAGTGAGAGATACAGTACGTTTCGAAATATCCAACAAATCCTGTAGATTCTAACTTATCTATCCGCCTTCCAATGGCCACTGCTTTGGGTCATATTTTTTTATAACTTCTCACCTGAATTTCTGTAGCCCTCTCAAATGTTCTTTCCTCGATGCTGCAAGAGACAGTGTTCTAAAATATCTCCTGATCATGTCATTCCCCTGCTTAAAACTCTCGAAGCACTCATCACAACTTTTGAACAAAGCTCAGACACCCAAGTTTGGCTCCAGCTCTTATACCACCTGGTTCTTGCCTACCTCTAGGGCAGCGGTTCTCAACCTTCCTAATGCCGTGACCCCTTAATACAGTTCCTCATGTTGTGGTGATGCCCAACCATAAAATTATTTTCATTGCTACTCTATAACTGTAATTTTGCTACTGTTATGAATCATAATGTAAATATCTTTTTGTGTTCCGATGGTCTTAGGCGACCCCTGTGAAAGGGTTGTTCGACCCCCCAAAGGGGTCGCGACCCACAGGTTGAGAACCGCTGCTCTAGGGTCACCTCTCCCCAAACCCTATGCCCAACATCTGTTCCCCTAGTCACACATTGCTGACCATTTGCACACAGTCTGCCTGTCTTCATCTATTAACTCCCACTGTGCCTTCAAAGCCCACTCAAACCTGACCTACCCCTTCACACTGCTCTGTACTCACTGAGCCATGGATGAGACCTCTCCCAATCCCAGACCGTGAGGAACTGGAGTGCTTACACTTGCTTTTAATGCCTTTGTTTTCTCAGGACAAAGCCTAGTGCTTGACATAAAATAAACACACACATTCATGTGTATGAATAATGTCCAAATCATGCTACGCTCTGCCCATAAACTTTTCTTGAAGGGTAATTTATTCATGCACTTATTAACCCCTTGCTGTGACATCTACAGCTTGAAGGAGAAGTTGACTTTTAGTTTTTTAATTGGGGAACAGCCATGGTCATTGGTTACACATTACTTTCATGCTACAATGGCATAGTTGACTCTTTCAGGGAGGGCACAGCTCACAGTGGCCCATGCAGGGATCAAATCGGCAACCTTGATGTTATCAGCACCACGCTCTAACCAACTAAGCCAACCAGTCACCCCAGGAGCAATTGAGTTTTAAAACCTGATTTGAGATAGATGGTGTTAATCAGATGTAGGGTGCACTCTGACGACCTGACATCATTCCTTCCGAGAACAGAGCCGTGATTTTCCTTGGGGAAATCCACTTTCCCACCTGCTCACTACAGTTCTGGGGGGACCAACCCCTCCTTACCCAAGCCTAGCTGACTAGTCCAATTCACAATGATTAAGTTCAGAACTTCAGCTGGAATTATAAGCAGTAGGCACTCTTTTCCCACAGGACTGGTAAGTAGAATGGTGGTTTTCAAATGTGTTCACAAACTCTGATACGGCTTCCTTCAAAGGTGCCGCCTTTTGTATTTAATGTTAACAAACAGAATGTGGCGGAAGTAACTGTTAGAATTCCAAAATTAGATCATAAAAGGCATCATGGCTTCCACCTTCACCCCTCCCTCTCCCCTGTGGACAAAAAAAGGGGTTCTGTAATAAAACCAACAAGCCCAGTGATGGAAAGTCACCTCACAGGGTGATCTGATCATACATTCCTACTGGGCAGGTCATGGTAGATAGTCAGGCCCCAGGCCTCTAACTTCTTTAGTGAGAGGTTTAAGCAAACCCTGTTCATTGTTCTAGTGCATCTAGGTTAACACACCTGTGAAATGCCAGCAGTAATCCTTTTCCAGATCCCTCTGGAGGCATAACCACCCTCAAGGGAGATGCATTATCTTGTTTGTTAACTATCCTGTAATCCCATCCCTGCCTTGCTTTCTCTCGCCTTCATTTAATCTTCCTTACATTCTCTCCTTAATTCCAAATGCATAAAAGAAATGGCCAACTGTCATTCTAAGAAGCATTTTTCTCAGTCTGTTGAGATCTTGCTTCCAGGTGTATCCTCTGGCTCCAATCAACATGAATAAACGCTTATAAAAATCTTCTACCGATTGGGACGGTCTTACGTGGACACCCCCATGATCACTCGCTCTGAAGAACTACCATGTCAGCCCCATGGAAAGGCCCATTCGGAAAGAAAATAAGGACTCTGCCAACAGCCAGCAAGGAGCTGAGGCCTTATAGATCAACCATGATACTGAGCCCACACCTTAGTTGCATCCTGTGAGAGTCCCTGACCCATAATCACCTAACTAAGCCACTCCTGAATTCCTGACCCACAGAAACTGTGACATAATAAATGTTTGGGGATGAAAAGGGTGCTGTAGTAAACCATTCATTCCTACCTAGGCAGGTCATGGTGGGTAGTCATGCCCCAGGCCTATCACTTCTTTAGTGAAAAAATTTTAAGCCAGCCCTATCCATTATTTTTGTGCACCTAGGTTAAAATGCCTCCTTTCAGACCCCTCCTTCTAATGTGACCACCCTTTTTCGACCCCTCCTTCTAAAGCGTGATCACCTCCAGCAAACACAGAATCTTAACCTGTCATCCAACCCCCACCTTGCTTTCTCCCATCTTTATGTAATCTTCCTTCCGCTCCCTCCTTAATCTCATAAAAGAAACTCCAAAACTGTTATTCTCTAGAGTATTTGAGATCCTGCTTCCCAGCAACTGTTGTCAGTTTGGCTCAGATAAACTCATAAAAATTCTCTACAGGTCTGGACGTTCTTATGTCGACAAATTCATTACACTTTGTGTTGATTTGTTAAGCAGTAGCACATATCTAATACAGGTAGGTAGGATGAAGGCAGAAACCTGTGGAAAAAGCCAACATTGACGGAAAGAGGGCAAAGAGAATTTACGTGAGAGAATGGGGGGCTAATAAGACCCATCCACACATGACCAAATCTTGATGATCTCATTTAAGCCAGTGGCCTCATTATTCCTGGTCCCCTGAACTTTCCTGTATGAAAGCCAATTGAATCTCTCCATAGGTTAAACTCGTTTTAATGGATTTTTGACACTTGAAGCCAAAAGCACTCCAACCAACGCAACAAGGACCCAGAAAACCGGCAAAACGCCCAAATAAATGTCCACTTGACACCAGGGCCATTTTCTTGATGTCATCTTTCCCTACTCTGTATTTTCTCATTAGCATGATCCATATTTCGCTTATTTATCTTATTTGTTATCGGTATCCTCCTGTAAATGGAAGCTCCTTGAGGACAGCTCCTTAAATCTGTGTGTTGTGGAGTTCATCTAAGCTGCTGTAACTATGCTCACTGTGAAATTGCAATGAAAGAAGTGGTGCAGTCTGGAGGTGGCTTTGGGAAGACATTAGCAGCGGGTACCTGGAGATGACCCAACACACAAGCTCTTCAGCTAAAATCACAGGGTTTCTTCAAGAACCTGCAAGTACTTGCAATTGCCTTCCCCCACAACTTATCAGTCTGCTCTAGGGCGGACTCTCTCCTTGTCAGCTCAGTCAGTCAGCTCATGGAGGAGCTAGGAACTCTTTCACAGACCAACAGTGTTCTTGTTCCCTTTCGAACTCTGTATGGCTTATTATGTACAGTAAGACAGGCTCTGCTCGAGTGATCTTCCCTACAGATGGGTTACTTTGCCAGTTTGTCTAACAATGTCCTGACAAGAGGGCAAGGCTACCTGACCCTTGTGAGAGACTTCTCACGGACATTCCGTTTCAGTAGTGCTATACTTTTCATCACTCTCAGGCAACCCAGGCAGCACCCTCAAGAGCAGAAGTAGCAATGGCTAGCTTACCTACGGTGCAGGCAACGTGGAGTGCGAAGTTTCTTAGTGTAGTTCAATCTTGTCTTTGGGGGAAAGTGGGCTCGAACTCAACGCCACTTAAGTCCAGGTTGCGGAAACCGGACCTGCAGACTTGCTGGAAGGGCTGGAAGGGCCGGCGGAGCTGGATGGCTCCGGCTCCTGCGGCAGCCTTTCCACCCACAGCGATGCACGGACACGCGTGGATTCGAATATCGAGGGGAGGTGGGCGAAAGCATGGGCGGGATCCCTCCGGGCTGGGACCTCCCGACCGCGCGGGTTGCCGAGGCGGAGAGTTCGGGTCAGGAGGGAAGAGGTGGGGCCCCGCGGCGTGCATGCGCGAGAAGGAGGACCTCGGCCGCGTTCACTCACCTGCCGCCACGCCCTCTCCCCTGCCGCCGCGCCCTCTCCTCCCGACCCCCGCGACTCCACCCCGCTCCCCAGCCCCGCCCACGAGGGTCACTTCCGGCCGGCCGGGGCGGGGACGGAAGCGCGCCGGAGCTGGCCCCGCCTGGCCCCGCCTGGCCCCGCCTGGCCCCTCCTGGCGGGCGGCCTCGGTTGCTAAGCAACGCGGATTGTGGCCCCGCCCTCGGTGGGCCTGGTGCTTGGGTCATCTGTCCCCAGGACTGGCGGACCCTGCCCCACATCTGGCAACGGGACGGGTCTCAGGATGCGCGTGAAGCTGGCCTGCGCGTGAGAGTCCAGTAACGCGGGAGGCACCGTGCGGTCGCTCTTGTCAGTCCCAAGGGTTTGAAGTAGGATCACCTTGTGGCTTTATTCTCATTTCACGATTATTAACGCGTCTTTCCACACGTTTATTGGCTAAGACATTTTCTCCCTTCTGGTCCAGTGTTCTGTTAATGGTTTTGTTTTGCTTTTTTTCTTGTTGCGTAGCACTGTGTTTTGGATATTAATTTTTTGTCAGTGAATTGTATTGTTATCTCAGTTTGCGTGTTTTCACTTTATGGTGTTTTGTTTTTTTTAAGATTTTTATTGGGGAATTGGGGATGGGAACAACGCTGGGGAATTGGGGGAAGGGGTACAGACAAGTTGCTGTCGTTTTGTTCTTCAGTCTAGTTGTGGAGGACGGTTGCTTTACTGGCCCAAGTTGGCACCATCATTGTGCTCTTCCTGGGCGAGGCAGATCAGTCGCTGGCTTCTGGACAGCTGCTCACTGCGGCTGCTGGCTACACACGGTAGCCCATGACAACTCACTTCAGCAGGGGTTTCCGGCAACTGACGGCAGCCCAGCTCCAAGTTGAGCTGTTGTTCAGCATCCTAGCTATAGAGGGCAGTGTCACTGGCCCTCATATGTGGGATCCGAACCAGAACCTTCTGGCGTCCCAAGCCAGCTTTTAACCAATGCGCCACTCGGCCAGCCCTTTATGGTGCTTTTTAATGAACAGAAGTTTATATTTTAATATAGAAAAATGTCTCTTTTATAGTTAATAATTATTTTGTGTTTTGTTATTTTTGTGGGGGTTTTTAAAAGTTTTTTTTTTTATTTGGGGAACTGGGGAAGGGGAACAGTGTTGGGGACTTGGGGAAGGGGAACAGCCAAGTCATTGTCCTTCAATCTTAGTTGTGGAGGGCGCAGCTAGCTCAGCTCCAAGTCCAGTCGCCATCCGGCCGCCCATCGGCAGCTCGCGGCCGCTCAGCTCAAGGTGCCGTGTTCAATCTTACTTGTGGGTGGGCGTAGCCCACCATCCCATGTGGTAGTCAAACCTGCAACCTTGTTAGGAGCACGTGCTTTCACCAGCTGAGCCACTCTGCCACCTGTTGGCAGCTCAGCTTGGTCGCAGCTCACTGGCCCATGTGGGAATTGAACGGGTGACCCTGTTGCTCAGAGCTCGCGCTCTTAACCAACTGAGCCACTCGGACAGCCCTTGGTCCAACTTTTAAGTTCTGCCCCATAGAATGTAACTCCTCTGTGCTTCTGGGTTGCACAAGCATATTCATGTCAGGCCTCAGTGACAACCAGGAAGACCCTGGGTTGGGTAAGAAGGACAAATTCCACAAAGAGGTCAAGGATGAGATGTCAGTACTGCTTCCCACCCTTGATTCCAAAGTCTGTATATTTTAGCTACTGAGGACTGCAGTTAGTATTTTCCAAAGATGGCTATTGGAAATTCTTCATATCTTTGTACACACAAGCTGCTCCTCACATCAAAATGTAGTGTCTGCTTCTCCTCCCCTTGAATCTACATTGGCCTTTTGACTTGCTTTGCCTGATAGATAATGGTAGGAGTAAAGTTCTGGGGTCTGATAGCTTCCACTCCCTCCCTGGGGGCAGCCAGCTGCCATATTACAATAGCTTGGGCTAGACTTCTGAATGACCCAGTCGCATGTACAGAGAGGCTACATGGAGGACCACAGAGGGGCTAGGTATGTCAGGGAAGCCTTCTTGGACCTTTGCTCAGCCCAGTTTCATACAAGCAACTTTGTGAACACGGCCAACACCACCTAGAGCAGATGAGCCCAGGGCCCAGCTAAGCCCTGCGTTGCACAGAATCACGAGAAATAAATCATTTTTGTTTCCCACCATTGAGTTTTAAGTGGCTTTCGACACAGAAATAATGGACCTGCTTTACCATAAAATGAATCTCTTGATAGGAGGCAAAGGTTGTGCAGCATTCCATGTCAGTGACTCAGAATTCTGCAAACCTTTGCATGTGTAGGCTGGTGGGAGGTGCTGTAGTCAGGAAAACCCAATACACATCAGGATGTTCACAATTCCAAAAAAATGAAACACTGTCCCCATCGAGTAGAAAGTCATTGATTACATTGATTACCCAATGTAATCAATCTACATTGAATGGACAGCTGCTCTACTCAAGGCAGAGTACCATATCAAGGGTTCGTTGTCAATCTCTTGGTGTGGCTGGGGCTAGAACAGCCTTGTGGATGGCAGGCTGTGAGCTCACAGAGGGACTATCATGAAGCAATCATCACAGAACCTAACAATTTCATGCTTGATTTAACTTGCACAAGTCATATGTCAGGCAGTATTAGAATCCCCATTTCACAAATATAAAAAAATTGAGTCTGAGAGTAGCTAAATATTGTTATGTTCACGGTTTCATGGGCTTGATCACAAACAAAAATCAGCCAGATATTCTTTTCGCAAAAAGGATTTATTCTGGAATAGACAGGATTGCACTTCAGCAGCTTCCCCCTTAGGGAGCCAGGCACAGCTTCTGGGTAACCAATGGAAAGAAGTCGTTTATAAAGGGGAAGAGGAAGTTGGGTGGGTGGGGGGGGAAACTGTTAAAACCATAGAGTTCTTGTAGGGCTTTCAGCAACCGACATAAGGTGTGAGAGCTCCTCCTACAGGCTCTCCCGATTCTTGTCCAGGTTAAAGGCTGTCATTAATTTTGAAATTGGCTAGCCAGAAAACATGGGATTTATTTTTTTGTTTTAGATTGTCTATATTCATTTTCTTTTATTGCAGGTTTGCCTCAATAGAGCATATAGGTCTTGAGCTCTAGAGTAAATCACAGTAGAGACTGGCTCCGCCCCTTCGACAACTAGCTTGGACCACCCCAACCTCAGTCTCCTCCAGCCTCCCTCAGAGCCTAGTTCCGTAATCTACCCGCCCCGTAAACTACATTTCCCAGCAGGCCAAGCGCCGGTGCCGACGCACTATCTCCCGGCGTCCCCCGCGACGGGAAGGAGTTGAACGCTTGAGGCCGACGCAACCAGCGTTGGTCGTTGTTGTCGCTGCTGCTGTCGCGTTGAGAGGACTCGTCGCGGCCGCCTCCGTCGCCCGTGCCGGCTACCATGTCCGCCCAAGCGCAGATGCGGGCCCTGCTGGACCAGCTCATGGGCACGGCCCGGGACGGTGAGTCAGGGCGGTCGGCCCCGTGAGGGGCTAGGGCGGGAGTGAGGCGAGGCCGCCGAGCCGCCTGAGGCGGGGGCCGCGATCGTCTGCGCCTGCGCTCTCCCCTCCCCCCACGCGCCGACCGCTGGCGCCGGGTCTTTGTCTGAGTTGGTTCGCTTGGCAGGCGACCGCGGCCGGTTTTTCTCCCGCCGGCGGCGGGTCCTCCTCGGGCTCTTCCCTCGGAACCCGCTCCGTCGGTGGGGCTCCATTCCCTCCCCCACTTATCGTCCTGCCATTTTCTTCCGGGCCGGCGCCGCAGCTCCTGCAGTCGGGGAGTCGGCGAAAGTCCGGAGCTAGAATGGGCTCCAGGTCAATGGCAGCCCAGTGATGGAGCTCATCCCAGGCTCCTCGGGGAAGCAGCTACACACCCGAGGGAGCCGAGTGGTCCTCGAAACCCCGGCCGTTCTCGTTCTTTACTATTGCAAAGGGGAGCCGTAAATTGAGCTTTTCTAACGTGGGTTCCTGCCGAGTGCTTTTCCAGCCTCCTTTCCCCCCAACCACACAGGAGAGCCTCTGTTTAGCCAGCGCTTGTCAGTCGTTAGGTAGGTTGTACTGTAGGGAGCAGTGCAAGATCATGATGGTTGTCTCAGGAGAAAGCGGTTGCATCTTTGCAAAGCTGTATACCTGCTGTGGTTTGTGTTTTCTTTTCTACTGAAGTAATGAAGTTGTAAGTTCACACTGGCACATTCGCAGGGCTGTGCAGAGTCTTTGCACTTTTACTTCATAGGCGAATAAGTGCTTTTTAGCTTTCTTTGTATATTGAGTTGCTTTTGAATTGCTTCCCATATTTTTATTTCATACAAACTGAACAATTGTGGCCCCTCTATTTTATTTATAAAGGTTCAGTGTATCTTTGCCTGCCTACATCAATCTGCAAGGGAGTTGCAGAAAAGCCTCATGTTCATCGAGCCGTGAGTCACAACCAATTTCTAAGCTGTTATAACAAAAAAGTGTTTGCTTTTTTTTTTCACAAGTAACTTTAAAAGTGTAGTTTAGAAAGAAAACATTTTCAATAAAAACGACACATTAATCCTGGATGCTTGCAAATCCTAAAATATATTCCTCCTTTAGTGTTACACAGCTCTGTGTCATATACACAGATTAGCTTTAAAATTTGTCACATTCCACTTTGCCTTTACTTTTATGTATCATTCCCCTAACTTCCTTACTGCAGGTTGGGCCAGAAAACTTTTCCTTTAAAACTTTTCAACAGCGGGCATAAAATTTCTGCAGCTGAGGTCTTGAAGAATGCAGATGGGTACAGTATGTGTTGGAACGCACAGTGTGTATTGACTAACCTAGTTCCTTTTTGGTTTTTTAAATTTTTTACTTTTTTGGTATTGTATTAAAAGTGACTCCCAGGTGCCAACTCTCTTTTTTTTAAGGGTGGGGGTGAAACGGGGATAGGAAGACAAGGTCTAGATTATCAGTCAGTGGTAGAGTTTGAAAGCTTTTTCTTCATGTAATTTTGGGCAAAATACTGCCTATGCATTTGTCCACAGCAAAACTATTAGATGAATAAGTAGCTTTTGTTGGTGGAAATGATTAGCTGTCGCTCATACATGGTGATTCATGGCCCTCTGATTAGCATGGGTTTTGGTATCTCATTGCCCACATATATGTGTGGGGCTAATGGCCTCTGGGTGCTCAGCCTTTTCCTTGACTCCTTGACTTCTTTGGCACAATGATGGAGTCAGATCTCATTAAGTGTGATTCATCATGATATATTTAGCATAAAAAAAAACACCTGTATTCTGCTCCAGTAGGAAATATCTCTAGATCAGCTTCTCAGTGTATTTGGTAGTCTGCAAATCATCCAGGCAAATTGTTGTACCCGATATGCTTTTGTGTTGAATGTGATAATATTGTCTTATTTAAAACCACACATGAATTTCAGGAGATGAAACCAGACAGAGAGTGAAGTTTACAGATGACCGTGTCTGCAAGAGTCATCTTCTGGACTGCTGCCCCCATGACATCCTGGCTGGGACGGTAGGTGCATGTGGCGGGGACATCACAGACTACTCAGGGGTACTGGATAGGCCGTGTAGGTTTTCCAAGTGGAATTCTGTTTTCCTTTATCAGGCAGAAATCACCTATATTGCCTTTCAAATTAGAGAGTCTGTTAGTTTAGTGGAATTTTATATTCTGGAACGTATTTCACTGTGACAGACTCTCTCTAATATTGCCAGGTTTTTGTGGAGTCCTTTATGCTGAGCAGTCATAACTGAGTAGTACAGGTAATCTCATTTGGTTATAGCAAAAGGTATGCTTCAGATCTGCCTGTAGTTCTGTGAAGATCCTGGATGAGTGGGTTTGTTTTCAAGTTAAACACCGTGCTAGACTTTTTATCTAACAAGGTATATTTCTTCCCAAAATTTTTAGGTTTTCTAAAAATCAGTTGGGAATAACATTGATTTTCTAGTTTTGCGCTATGCCACCCTTGCATAAAAATCAACACATGATGCAATGAATATAGACCCCTAAAATTTTGAATTCACTTCAGATGAGCTAAACAGATAAATGCTAGTTTTGCAGAATGTGCATTTATTCAAAATTAGATAGGAATCCTCCACTAACGAGAAGAGGATTATCAACCGTGATTCAGCCACTTACAGAAAAGGAGTCTTATAAAGACCACCAGCATTTTGATAATTTCACAGTTACCTCGTGAATATAAAAAGTGTCTTTTCATTTTAAGGATCAAATGTGCTTGTATTCGGGAACGTTTTCTTCGTCATTAATTGTTGCTTTATTGGTACTATTATGACGGAAGCGGTCTCTGAAACACTCTCAGGTTTATTAAATTTTCTCAAGCTGGCTCTCCTGACAACAGATAGGAAGTGAATGGCAAACCTTGTGACTCTGTTACCTGAGGTTTACCTACAGTTAGACTTGGCATAGGAAAACGTTACAACTGGTGTTTGCTGCAGATGGTTGTTCATGTCGCTCTTTGTATACCAGAGGGAATCAGGCTGATTGAGAGCCAAATGGATCCATCAGTGTAGAGCTATGGCTTCCACTAGTAATAACAGTTCAACTGCAGGATACTCCTGTAGGAGGCATCGTAACCTGCAGTTGGCAATAGATCTTAGTGGAAGAAGGCAGAGGGAGCAGAGGGACCTGCACCAGAGTGAAGCAGCTCAGCCATGTTTTCCTTGATCAGATCCCTGTGTGACGTTCCAGAACGCTGGTGAGGAAAATAACCAGAATGAGGGCATTTCCTACAAATGTTCACTGTATTTAGGTATAGATTAATTTACCAAATATTTATTGGACACCTACTCTGTGCCAGGCACTGGGGATATGGTGCCAGTGAGACAGTCTTTACTCTCATCTAATGGTGGAAGAGGACAGACGGTAAATAATAAATGAATGGATAATGGACTGTGGTGAGAAGGGTGATAAGCTAAGGTCTCTCAGGGACATTGGAGCAGAGACCCAATGGTGAGAAAGAACATGTGTGTGGTTTGGGGGAGGTAGAGGATGGAGCTGAAGGACAACAGGAATGCCAGTGGTATGTCTGGACGGTGAGTGAGGGGGAGAGGTAGGCAGAGGCTGTGGAATCAGATGAATTATGAGAAGCCACTCCTGTGGGGATTTGGGCAGGGGCAGCTCAGCAAAGGGAGTGAGTGTGAGAAGAAGCAGACTGAGGAGGAAGAACCCTAGGAGACATGTGTTCCTGTGAAGATGCAAATAAACAAATGTGAGGAGCTGCTGAGGGTCGATTAGCATGAGGATTGGGGATTCAAATGGAGGTTCTTGAACAGGTTGAGGGTGTGGGCTACGTGGAAGTGGGAGGTGAGGGCAAGAGCTGAATGATGGGTCTTCTGAGGAGTTTGTGTTTGTGTTGAATTGAAATGGAAAGAGTATAATTCTTTAGAATAGAGCAGCAAGATGAAAGTGGTTATAATCTTCGGCCTGCTCAGGCCCAAGTTTTTGCTTAAAACCATCTCCTGTCATTAGTGAGGGTGAGGCAAGGCGGAATGGAAGTAATCATTTTATTGGGGCTAATGGGAAACTGTAGTGTTGATTAGTGAGTGTGGAATAGTGAAATAGCTGGAGAGAAAGTGTGTGACTGGTCTCAGTGGAAGAATTGCTTTTCAGAGGTTCTGGAAGGAGCCTCTCGTGCCTTCCCTGTCAGCAGTGTGAGATCACCGGAGGGTGGAGTAAAGAAGGTCTGACATGTTGGATTTAACAACCGCTGGAATATTTTGGAAGGATGTTTCAGCTCTGCTAGGTGTTTAGCCGCCAGGAGAGTTGGCCAGCACTTCCCTGCCTCCCTGGCAAAGCCGAAAGATAGGCCCAGAGAGAAACCTTGGAACCCAGGCCTGTCCTCTGTTCGCTTTAGCGTGTCTGCTTGAGAGCGCTCACCCAGAGGAAGACAGTGGTGCATTGTGCTTCACTTGTGTTTCTCTAACACCAAAACCTTGTTGACGACAAGTTTTTAGAGTGGAGATTGATTTGCACTTAAGATTTTTAGTACTTAAGGTCTTAGTGCTTACTTCCTGTGGTGGTAGTTTTTCTTTGAGCAGCAGAGCTTTCATTAGCTCTTAAGCATCCTTGATAGCGGCCACTCATTTTTCAGCTATAGCACATAGTTTCATTTGTGGAAACAATAAAATTTAAAGAATCGTATTTGGTACGTAAAAGAGTTGAGTGAGGGGCCGGCCGAGTGGCGTGGTGGTTAAGAGCTGGCTTGGGACCCCAGAGGGTCCTAGTTCAGATCCCACATATGAGGGCCAGTGACACTGCCCTCTACAGCTAAGATGCT